GCCGCCCCCGGCGCCGCCCCCCGCCCGCGCCCCCGCCGGTCGTCCCCTCCCACAGCATGGTGGGCATCGCCATGGACGTCGGGGGGAGCCCCATCGTCTCCAGCACGGGAGCCTATCTCATCCACGGGCCCATGGACGGTGCCAGACACTCGCTGGCACACACGTCCCGGTCCTCGCCAGCCACGGTAGGTGTGAGGCCCCCGGGTGCACTGGGAGCACGCCGCCGCTGCACGGCCTGGACTGAGGCGCTGTCGCCGCTGTGCATCCAGGCCCCAGGTGCAGCGAGTCCTGCCGCCCCGGGCAGGTCTGTACAGGTCTTTGAACTCAGGTCGCCCCTGGTAAAAGAGGACGCATCGTCTGTGTGGGGCTGTCCCGAGGTGTGCCGATGCCTGAAAGCACCCCCCACCAGGAGAGGTCGCCACTGCCCGCGTTGTTACAGTCCTCCGGCCGCCCACCTGGCCTCTCGCAGGCTTAGACCGGGGGTACTGGACGAGGGAGCCGCCCCTCGGAATTTTACGGAATCCTCGTTGCCACTTTGCTGTGCAGAGCAATGACTTAACCTGCTTGAAAGCCTCCCTGCTTTTAAGCTCAGTTTTCTGTGTTTACTTTTACTCATATTTGCCATGGGCGTGTGTGCTCACCGAAGAGAGACAGAGACAGAGGGAGAGTGAGAAATCACCCCCTCGGGTATGGCCATGCCACAATCTCCATTCTCCTCTCGGGACTCTGGGCATGCACGCACACGCGCCCGGCGTGATTTTCAAGCCTCTCAGTCCAGGACTCGAACTGTGGCCTGCCATGTGGGAGGCCAGTACCTTAACCACTACGCCACCTGCTGGCCCCTCTTATTTTATTTTTGAAACTAACACAGGGTAAGTTTTGACACACGTAGATTCATGCAACCACACCCACAATCAGGAAACAGAACAGTGGCTGCCCAGAAAATTCCTTCACGATACAAGGGACTTCAGAAAGCTAGTGGGGAGATGGAATTAACGTACAAGTTTAGAGCCGGCCCTGTGGTCTCGTGGTTAAGGAAGCCAGGTCCCACATAACCAACCATGGTTCAAATCCCAGCCCTGTCGGCTTAAAACACATACCAGTAGTATGTGTGTGTGTGCCCAGACTCGCGACAGGGTGGACGATGGAGGAGAAAGGATTATTGCCGTATGACCATGCCCCCTTGGGGGTGCTTTCTACCTCTCCCTGTCTCTCTTTTTTATTCTTAATCATTATTTACTTTATTTTTTATTATTGTTACTTTTTTAGTTTGCTATAGGGCTTTGCACTCACCAGAGAGACAGAAACAGAGAACGGAAAAGTGAGAAGGCAAGCCACCAGGTCTAGGACTTGAACTGCTGTCGACCACGTAGAAATCTGGCACTCTAACCACCATGCCACCTGCTGGTGGTGCAAGTTTATTTTGGTGTAAGAAAACTGAAATCCGTGCAGTTTTTGTATGTATTTCTGTGAACTTTTGGAGGGTCCTCATATTTCTTTGCACTCACGACCTCCCCAACCACAATCCCGGGCACCCGCTGCTGTGTTCTCGGTCACTGTGGTGGTTGCCTTCCCAGGAGTGCCGGATAAACGGAATCACGCAGCGTCTCCCTTCTGAGATCCTCTCTGTGTGGTGCGTGCGAGAGCCAGTCCATGGCTGCGTGGGCCAGTAGCTGGGGTTTTCTTGTTCCTGAGCGGCCATCCATCCCTCCGCTGTTTGTCTATCCCTCGTCCCCGAGCACTCTGGGGTGGCTTCCGGGCTGGGCAGTGATAAATTAAGCAGCTCTGAGTACCACGTTTTCCTTCCTGGCAGCCGCCTTCCAGTGGTGTGCTGGCTGCTGCGGTAAGTGTACGCCCGGCGTCGTCAGAAGGCACCGTCCCGGTCTTCCACGTGGTGGTTCCGTTTGCGGTCCTGCCTGAGTGTGTACGAGCTCGCGTAGCTCTGTCTCGCTGTCCGCCCTGGGTGTGTCAGTATTTTGACCGTCCTAGTGGGAGTGGGTGGTTCCCTGTGGTGGTGGTAACTTGTATTTCTTTATAGCTGATGATGGTGAGCAGCTTTCGATGCGCCTGTCGGTCTTGTAGATGTTCTTTAGTGCAGTGTTAGGTCAGGTCACTTGCTGATTTTTTTAACTGGGCGATTTTTGTTTTTCCTGGTGAGTTTCAAGAATTTCTTATACATTCTGAATAGAAGTCCTCCGTAACGCATGATTTGTAAATATTTTCTCCCAATCCGTAGTGTTTGTTCACTATGTAAAGTGTCTTTTGCAGACAAAAGATCTTTTTAAAAAATGTTGGCCAAATCCAAATCATCCATTTTTCTGTCGTGGCTTATGCTTTTGAGTCTCAGAACTTTTGCCTATCTGCAGGCCATGAAGATTTTTCTCCTTTTTTTTTTTTTTTTAAGGTTTTTGCCCAAAGGCATGTGTGCTCACCAGAGAGAGGGAAAGTGAGAAAGCACCCCCAAGAGGGATGGCCACACTGCAATCCCTTCTCCTCTATTCTCCTCGGGATTCTGAGCACACACATGCATGTGCCTGGCATGATTTTCAAGCCGCCATGTCCAGGACTCAAACCATGGTACGTCATATGGGAATCCGGCTCCTTAATCACTATGTCACCTGCTGGCCCTTTCTCCTGTTTTCCTCTAAAAGTTTTACAGTTTCAGATTTTTGCATTTAAATCTGCTTCATTTTTCACTTTTGTGTAGGTGTCCAGTTTAGGTCTAGGTTTATTTTTTGCAACCAGTTTTTTTCACCTCATTGTTAAAAAGATTGATCTTTTCCCACTGGATTGCTTTTGTACTTTTATCAGAAATCAATTGGCCATATGTGTGCGGGTCTACTTCAGGGCATTCCGTTCTGGTGCCTTGATCCGTGTGTCTGTCCCTCTGCCAATACTGTGCTGCCTTCATTGCTGTAGCTTTGTAGTGAGTCTTAACATCTAGTGGAATGATTCCTCGCAATTCAGTTTTCTACACGATTGTGTTGGCTATTCTAATGTATTTAGGTGTTCTCTATATAAATTTTAAGTCAGTTTACATCTACAGTAAAAGAATCCCACTGGGTTTTGGATTAAATTGCATTAAACTGGTAGAGCAATTTGGGGAGAATCATTATCTTCATTATGTTGAATCTTTCAATCCATGAACATGGTATGTTTTCTCCATTTATTTAGAGCTTCGATTTTTTTTTTTTAAATCAGCATTCTGTAAATTTTAGCATACAGATCCCGTATGTGTTGTGTTATATTTACACCTAAGTGTTTTGTGATTTTGGAGATACTATAAATACTGGTTTGTTTGTTTTCATTTAATTTTTTAAATTATTTATTCATTCATTCACTTATTTTAATTTGACCAGAGACAGACACCCACACAGAGAGAGAGAGAAAGACAGGGGAAGTGAGAAAGCAAGCCACCAGGTCCGGGACTTGAGCCCTGGTCAGCCGTGTGAGAGTGCCCAGCGCCTTACCCACCACGCCTCCTGCTGGTCCCTGTGTGTGTTTTTAATGTATTTCTAGCCATTCATTACTAGGATATAAAAACATAGCTGGTATTTTGCTGTTGACCTTAAATCCTGCCATGTTACTGATCTTACTTTTTAGTGCTAGAAGTTCTTTTGTTGTCTGCCAATACAGAAGTTCTATTTCTTCCTTTCCAACATGTGTGCGTTTTACTCACTTGGCCTGTGTGTTCACATCGGCTGGGCTTCCTGCGTGGCGTTGACGAGGACTGGCAACAATGGCCATCCTTGCCTTGTTCCGCTCCGGGGGGTAAGGATTTGGGACACACACTTTCACCTTGGTTTGCTGCTTCCGTGGAACACACGCAGTTGTATTTTAGAGCAGGGGTAAGCCCGGCAGGTGCAGCTGCAGCCCCAGCCCCCATCTCTTCATTCCCACCTTCGGGTTTGCGAGGACCGTACTTCACCCCATCGCCCCACCCTGGCCACTTCTGGCCCCAGGAGGCGTGACCCTGATCCCAGCTACAGCGAACCCAGCCTGCAGAGGTGGGCGTCGCTCCGAGGCTCCCGTAGCTGACCCTTCGCAGCCCCACACCTTGGGCTTTCTGAGGAGGTCCTTGCAGGTAGCACAGCCGTCTGCCAGGCACCAGCCGACCCAGAGGAGGGCTCAGTCCCTCCCTTCCTTGGCAGCTGCTCACTCCGATGAGGCCAAGGTGCTGACATGAGTCTGGCCCGTGGGCTGGCAGTTGAGGGAGCCTAATGCCCCATGGCCACCTGCCATTCGAGGCACGCTCCATTATGTTGAATCTTTCAATCCATGAACATGGTATGTTTTCTCCATTTATTTAGAGCTTCGATTTTTTTTTTTTAAATCAGCATTCTGTAAATTTTAGCATACAGATCCCGTATGTGTTGTGTTATATTTACACCTAAGTGTTTTGTGATTTTGGAGATACTATAAATACTGGTTTGTTTGTTTTCATTTAATTTTTTAAATTATTTATTCATTCATTCACTTATTTTAATTTGACCAGAGACAGACACCCACACAGAGAGAGAGAGAAAGACAGGGGAAGTGAGAAAGCAAGCCACCAGGTCCGGGACTTGAGCCCTGGTCAGCCGTGTGAGAGTGCCCAGCGCCTTACCCACCACGCCTCCTGCTGGTCCCTGTGTGTGTTTTTAATGTATTTCTAGCCATTCATTACTAGGATATAAAAACATAGCTGGTATTTTGCTGTTGACCTTAAATCCTGCCATGTTACTGATCTTACTTTTTAGTGCTAGAAGTTCTTTTGTTGTCTGCCAATACAGAAGTTCTATTTCTTCCTTTCCAACATGTGTGCGTTTTACTCACTTGGCCTGTGTGTTCACATCGGCTGGGCTTCCTGCGTGGCGTTGACGAGGACTGGCAACAATGGCCATCCTTGCCTTGTTCCGCTCCGGGGGGTAAGGATTTGGGACACACACTTTCACCTTGGTTTGCTGCTTCCGTGGAACACACGCAGTTGTATTTTAGAGCAGGGGTAAGCCCGGCAGGTGCAGCTGCAGCCCCAGCCCCCATCTCTTCATTCCCACCTTCGGGTTTGCGAGGACCGTACTTCACCCCATCGTCCCACCCTGGCCACTTCTGGCCCCAGGAGGCGTGACCCTGATCCCAGCTACAGCGAACCCAGCCTGCAGAGGTGGGCGTCGCTCCGAGGCTCCCGTAGCTGACCCTTCGCAGCCCCACACCTTGGGCTTTCTGAGGAGGTCCTTGCAGGTAGCACAGCCGTCTGCCAGGCACCAGCCGACCCAGAGGAGGGCTCAGTCCCTCCCTTCCTTGGCAGCTGCTCACTCCGATGAGGCCAAGGTGCTGACATGAGTCTGGCCCGTGGGCTGGCAGTTGAGGGAGCCTAATGCCCCATGGCCACCTGCCATTCGAGTCCCGATCCCAGTGGCTTGAGGAACTGTGCACACGTGTGTGTGTACCCCAAGTCCTGATGGGACGGAGGAGGGGTCGAGTGTGGTATGGCCACACCCACCGGGCACCTTCTCCCTCCTGTCTCTGGTGAACGCATAGACCATCTGGGAAATTAAAGGTAATCACAGGGCCAGCCGGCAGCGTGGTGGCTAAGGCCCGGACTCCCACATGGCCAACCACTGGTTACTTTATTTATTTAAAAATAAATAATTAGGGACCAGCAGTTAGCGTAATGGCTATGTCGCTGGACTCCCATGTAGTCGACCACGGTTCATGTCCCGGACCCGGTGGCTTAAACTCACACCGGGCGCGTGTGCGTGCGTGCCCAAGATCCCTAGAGGAGAATGGAGGAGAAGGGACTACGGTGTGACCATCTCCCCTTAGGGGTGATGTCTCGCTTTCTGTCTCTCTGTCTTTCTGGCACCCTATAGCAAAAACTTCTCCCCCAAAAAATAATAATTCTTTTTAAAAAGTGGCCATCAGAGGTGCAGAGGTAGTCCTTGAATCAGGCATTCCCGCCGGCTCACCCCGCGGAAGGAGGTGGAACGTCCAAGAACATCTCCCCTTACTGCGTACGGGGCACACGGACCTGCCTGCTCCCTCCGGAGACACCGTGGCTTCGGTCGCGACGCTCACACTCCGCTCATACAGACGCCGTCTCTGGGTTCTGGAATGTACCGTTGCCCCCCCTCTGGCTCTGTGGTGCGGGCGACCGGTGCGCTGAGTCGTGTCTCTTGCTGCTGTCAGGAGCCCTCCTCGTCCCCGTCCTCAGCAGAGCGTGGTTGGGAGTCCCGGAGTGAAGGTCTAGGAGCGGACTAGTCAGGGCCGCCTCGCCGCATCTTGTCTGGGCGGCCCGGTCGGGCACACACTCAGCCCCAGCAGTGAGCCGCCCCGCAGTGCAGGAGAGGTGTCCCCTTCCCCTCCCAGCTGCTGCGCAGGGGACAAGGCCGGGGAGTCCGCACCCTGTGCTTAGGGCACCCGTGCTGGGCGGGGTCCCAGGGAAGGTGCCACAGGGCCGTCCTAAGTCGGCTGCCCCAGCTCCCCGCCGCCTGGCGCAGGAGACGGGCATCGTGGCCTGGCAGCTACTCGGCGGGCCGCCAGTGGCAGGTCAGATGGCGCCAAGGCGCGGGGGGGGGAAAAACCCTGGCAGCCGCCGGGGGGGCCGCCAGTGGCAGATCAGATGCCGCCAAGGCTCGGGGGAGGTACATGCGGTTCCTATTCTCCGCTGCACCCTGGAGCTGGGAGAGGTCTCCCCCTCCTCCACTGCGCCTCTACCCTTCCCAGAGACGCCAACGTCCTCTTGCTGGGAGCGGGCATCGCGAAGGAGAGAACACCGCGGTCCAGCCGGGCGTGGGAGGCAGGGACCGCTCCTATTGAGCTCAGCTCCGGGGAGCCGGTCTCCGAGACACCCCCGCCTGCTTGGACCGAGCCCGCGGCCAAGCCTTGGCCTTCCTGGGTGTCTCAGGGAGGAGCTCGCGTCCTGCCAGGATGGTCCGTGCCCACCGTGGCGGCCGCAGCAGGTTGTGCATTTCCCTGTCCTCGTTAGGGTCTAGGTCAGGCTCCGTAAGAGCAGACGTGGCACCAACACCCGTGGCTGGGCGCCCCCTCCCTCCGGACCTGCTGCCCCTCCGCCGGTCCCCACTGCCCCCAGCAGGTCGTCGTGTTCAGACATGTCTACACAGCCCTCTGTGCTCAGCTCAGCGTTCAGACGCGCGTGCGGGCGGCTCTGTGCGCGGTGGCCCAGGGCTCGCTCCCAGGCCCTGTCCTCGCTGGTCTCTTCCCAGCACATCCGGGAGGGAGGCCCCAGGCTTCAGCGGGACGGCGTCCGGAAATCTCCGCAGCTCTGGAGCGGTGGGGACGGGCGTGGGTGGCTTTGTGCCGGCTCTGGAAGCCTCGCTGTCGCCTGCTGGGGTGGGCCGCGTGCGCAGTGAGACTCACCCTGCTGCTCCTAACAACCTAACCCGCCCTGCCCTGCCCTGCCCTGCCCTCGCAGCTTGAGCGCCCGCCCTAACGCCTCTCCCCACCCCTGCCGGGGTTCAGGCTTGTTTTTTTTTTATTTTTCAGGAGCTCTAATCAGTATTTGGATATTAATTTTTTAAAAATCTTGGCTGATGCTAACCATCTGATTTCCTTTTCTTTTTTTTTTTTTCATTTTATTTTGTTTTCTTTCTGCACACATTTTCTTTAGCTTGAAATGGCGATTGAAAATCTCCAAAAAAGCGAAGGCGTCACGTCCCACAAAAGCGGTTTACTCAACAGCCATGTAAGTGTGCGTCTGGCCGGGTCGGCCCGCCCTGCGTCCCACTCTCACAGACACTTAAAGGGACGGGTAGTGCCAAGGCCCCTTCACAGCGCCGAGACGGGGGGAAGGCCAGCCCGGAACTCGGCCGCAGCAGGGACTCCCCGAACGGAGAGAGAAACACGGGCAGCTTCTTCATTGTAAGACGGGGTCGTGGTCGCACCTGCCTCCGAGGGCTCTTCCGGGGACGAGAGTGTTTCTGACGCTTTCAGCGATGCCTGATAGGAGGCAGGCAGTATGCGTCTGTCACAAATTAAAATAATGTGGGGGCCAGCAGGTGGCATGGTGGTTAAGACTCCGGACACTCCCACGTGGCTGACCAGACCTGGCGGCCTGCTTTCTCACTTTCCCTCTCTCTCTGTGTCTCTCTCTGATCAAAATTTAAAAATAACTTGAATGAATGCATAAAATTAAATAGAATAATTCTAAAATATATTAAAATAATACTAAAATAAGCAGCAAAAAAGAGAAAGAACTGACATAAGGAGTGAAAATGCCAGAAAGACTGCTCATTTCCCTGGGGTCCGATCTTTGGAGAACATGGTCATTTGAAAAAAGCAGGGCTTGGGACCAGCAGTTGGCGTAATGGCTATGTCGCTGGACTCCCATGTAGTTGACTGCAGTTCAAGTCCCGGACCCGGTGGCTTAAACTCACGCCGGGCGCGTGTGCGTGCGTGCCCAAGATCCCGAGAGGAGAATGGAGGAGAAGGGATTGCGGCGTGACCATCCCCCCTGGGGGGTGATTTCTTGCTTTCTGTCTCTCTGTCTCTCTCTGTCTGGCGAGCGCATGCGCCCTATAGCGAAAACCTCTCCAAAAAAAAAAAAAAAGCAGGGCTGGCCCATAGCCTGGGGCTGAGAGCGACTGGGCCCCCGCAGGGCCGACCGCACAGCTGGAGCCCTGGGCTGGCCCATAGCCTGGTGCTGAGAGCGACTGGGCCCCGCAGGGCCGACCGCACAGCTGGAGCCCTGGGCCTGGAGGGCGGAGAGACAAGCCAGGTGTGTGTGCGCGTGAGCCCAGAATCCCCACGGGTGGGAGAGATGGGGGGGAAGGGCCTGCCGCCGTCCATCCCCATGGAGGGGCACTTTCTCGCCCCCATCTAGTGAGCTCACGCACCCACTGCCATATTGAGTAAAAAGGAAGAAGGAACACAGAAACCAACTCGTCCCTGCTGATGTTAGCCGTGTGGGATTTTTCTCCTGCACTTGCCTCTCGGGAGAAACCCACGACAGGGCGGGGGGGGTCCCCTTCAAGACTGTCCTGAGCGTCCTCACCCTGGGCTGCTCTGTGCAGGCTGGGGCTGGAGGAGGCGCCAGCCCCGAGTCCTCCTTCCTGGAGCAGTTGAGAAGGGACGGCCTGGTCCCCTGGCCCCGTCTTTCCGCCCTGCCTTCCCCAAGTGCTCAGTCCAGCTTTGCACGTGTTTGAAGGTGACGCGACACCCTAAAACCCGGGCAGGCTGCCAGAGCTAGACGTGCTGCTAGCAGCCGCTCCAGGGCACTGCACTTGGGACCTGCTAGGCTCTTGCGAGATGAAGCATCACAGGTGATGGAGTCCCCCCGAGTCAGACCCAGTCCTAGCTGCCGCCCCATCGAGACTGGTGCTGCCGACATTCAAAACGAGGCCTTTCTTTTTATAGTTTTCCTTAGGAGTTACTTAATGATATTTATTATTATTATTTTAATTCACCAGAGAGGGACAGAGAAAAAAGACAGAGGGAAAGTGAGGAAGCCAGCCGCCAGGTTCCAGACGCAAACCTGAGTCAGCCACGTGGGAGTCCAGTGCCTTATCCAGAAAGCTGACCCCAGTGAGGGGTTTCTTATCTTTGTTAAGAATTACTTCATTCATTTTGTTTATTGTTATTATTTTAAATTTGACCAGAGAGAGACATGAGAGAGAGAAAGGGAAACTGAGAAAGCAAGCCACCAGGTCCGGGACTTGAACCGTGGTCAGCCACGTGGGAGTCCAGCGCCCTTATCCATCACCCCGCCTGCTGGCCCCGAGGTGTTTGTTGAAAGGCACTGAGTCTCTGGATGCAAGCCGACCTAGAGAAAGGTCCCAGATCCTTCTGGGCTTGTGGATGGGGTACAGGCATGCTCAGCTGCCAGGGCAGCCCCTCTGGGTGAGGGCAGGTCGCTGGAAGTCACAGGAAGGTTCCCTCCCTCTATCTTAAACAAACACACAGCACCCTGCTCCATGCCCCGCATCCCCGGGTCCAGGGAGGGGAGGGTGTCCTGTCTGTGGACAAATTCCAGAAGCGAGGACCTCCCACCCCCCACCTTAAACTCCACGCCATGGGGAGCCTGCAGAAAGGGCCGGGCCTCAGCTTAGGAGCGACACGTCTCATCCTGCAGGCCCCAGGGTTAGGTCAGTCCTGGGGGGAGAGCCGAAGGGGTGCAGAGCCCAGGCAGGCCCCCGCGTCCATGGAAACGAGATGTCTGGGAAGACGCATGCGCGCTGGCTGCACGCCCCCCACCCCGCCCCTGGCTTTCTAAGGCTGTCCATTGCAGACGGCCCCGGGCTCTTCCCAGCAGGTGACCGTCCCAACTGACTTCAGGTCGGGGCATTTTCTCCCTCGGACCCGTGGCTGGTGGGATCGGGGGGTTGGCGACTTAGAAGCAATGGAAAGAGAAGTGAGATCTGTCTAAGAAGTCCACCGTGGGGCCAGCCAGTGGCGCGGTGGTGGAGGCGGCTGGATCCCACTTGGTCGACTGTGTGGTTCAAGTCCCAGACCCAGCGACTTGAAAACCAGTCCCAGGGTGTGTGCGTGTGTTCCCGAGATCTTGAGAGGAGCATGAAGGAGAAGGGACTGCAGCGGGCCACCCTGCAGTGGGTGCTCTCTCGCTTTCCCTCTCTCTGTGTCTCTCCAGCAAGCGCATACGACCTCTAGCAAACTTAAAAAAAAAAAAAAAGAGCCCACCGTGCACACTGGGGTGAACCGAGCCAGGGTCTCGTCCTGGCAAATGTGAGCCAGAGAGGAGCGGGGTGCTTGGCCTCCAGCTGCTGGCTGGCTGGGCGGTGGGCGGTCCATGGCGGGCCACTCTCTGCCGCAGCCCTTCGGAGGCCTGGGGTGGTGGTGACGTAGCCACATCCCGCTCCTCCCGCCGAGGGCCGACTGTGGACGGCACCGTGGCAGAGCTGTCACTGCGGGCCAGGGGCCGGCTCAGCTGGCAGCCTCGCGGGCCGCGCCCCGACGGTGAGCCGGGCGGTCACTGCGGCAAGCCCCTCCAGCGGCCGTCCTCGGGCGGCT